CACCACCTCCTGCCACACATGTAGTCAATCTGATTCCTGTGTGTTCCATTTGGTGAAGTCCACGTGTACAGCCTCCGTTTGTGTTGTTGAAAAAAGGTGTTTGCAATGAACAAGTTGTTGGTCTTGCAAAATTCTACCATACGAGTTCCAGCATTATTTCTGTCACCAAGGCCAAATGCTCCTAGGAGGCAAGAATGGCCAGACTTCATTTCACCTACTTTGGTCATGTTGTCAGAATGGACCATTCCCTCCAGAAGGATGTCATGCTTGGTAAAGTAGAGGGTCCATGAAGAAGAGGAAGGCCCTCAACAAGATGGACTGACACAGTGGCTGCAGTCATAGGCTCAAGTATAGCAAGGATCATGGAGCTGGTGTGGGACTGGGTGGTGTTTTGTTCTGCTGTGCATAGTGTTGCTATGAGTCAGAAATGACTTGATGGCACCTAACAACAACAACAACAGAAGCCTTCAGTATTGCAACCTGAGGCTTGAATTTTTTCTTCAGTTCTTCCAGCTTGAGAAATGCTGAATGTGTTCTTCCTTTTTGGTTTTTTAACTTGCAAGTCTTTGCACATTTCTTTGAAATACTTTACTTTGTCTTCCAAAGCTGCCATTTGAAATCTTCTATTCAGTTCTTTTACATCATCATTTTTTCCATCCACTTTAGATACTCTCCATCTGATAGCAAGCTTCAGAATCTCTTCTGACATCCATTTTGGTCTTTCCTTTCTTTTGAATGATCTTTTGCTTTCTTCATATATGATATCCATGATGTGATCCCACAACTTGTCTGGTCTTCAGTCATTAGTGTTCAGTCCATCAAATCTATTCTTGAGTTGGTCTCTAAATTCAGCTGGGTTATACTCAAAGTCATACTTTGGCTCTTGTGGCCTTGTTTTAATTTTCTTCAGCTTCAACTTGAACTTGCATAGGAGCAATTGACAGTCTGTCCCACAATGTGCCTCTGGCCTTGTTCTGAATAACAATATTGAGCTTCTCCATTATATCTTTCCATAGATGTAGTCAATTGACTTCCTGTGTATTCCATCTGGTGAGGTCCATGTCTATAGTCAACATTTATGTTGTTGGAAAAAGGTATTTGCAATGAATAAATGGCTCATCTTACAAAATTCTGTCATGTGATTGTCAGCAGCATTTCTATCACCAAGACCATATTTTTCCAACTATCAATGCTTATTCTTTGTTTCCAACTTTTGCATTCCTATCAAAGAGTTCATTTTACGTGGATGGAGAATCAACACAACCATTGAAGTAGCAGTCAAGAAATCACATCACATATTGCACTAGGAAAATCTGCTGCAGAAGACCTCTTTAAAGTGTTACAAAGCAAAGACATCACTTTGACAACTAATGTGCCCTTGAATCCAAACCAAGGTATTTTCAATGGCTTCCTATACATGCAAAAGCTAGGCAATGAATAAGGAAGAGCAAAGAATTGATGCCTTTGAATTATGGTGCTGGCAAAGAATATACCATGGACTGCCAGAAGAATACTGTCTTGGAAGAAGTAGAGCCACAATGCTCCTTAGCAGCAAGGATAGTGAGACTCCATCTCATGTACTTTGGACATGTTATCAGGAAGGATTAGTCCCTGGAGAAGGGTATCATGCTTGGGAAAGTGAAGGATCAGCAAAAAAAGGGGAAGGCCTTTAATGAGATGGATTTACATAGTAGCTACAACAATGGGATCTAGGATAGCAGCAATTGTGAGGATGGCACAGGACTGGCAGTATCTCATTCTACTGTATGTAGAGTTGCTGTAAGCTGGAACTAGCTCAATAGCACCTAACAACAACAACAAATGAGATTTCCAGAGAATTGGTGTCTCGTAGTTGTAAAATTCTTACCACCCATGCAGGAGACCTGCGTTTGATTCCCAGTCAAATACCTCCCTTTGTCAGTGGAGGCTTGATTGTTGATGTGACACTGAACAGATTTCAGCAGAGCTGCCAGATTAAAATATACTGATAAAGATCTGCCAATCTACTTCCAAAAATTAGCCAATGAAAACCCTATGGCACAGGACTGGGCAGCATTTTATTCCATTGTACATGAGGTCCCCATAAGTTGAGAACAACTTGACAGGCACTCACAACAACGACATGGACACTTCCTGCAACTAACTTAAATGTCACTCAGGTGGCTCTGATGTCAGTTCCTTCAACTCAGCAAATTTTCCTTGTTTCCATCCTCCAAAGCAGACACTATACCAGCCACACAGAGAGATGAGTATGGCTTCAATCCTGGCCCCAAGGAATTTATGAACTATAGAGCAAAACACATAAAAATGAAGTTCAGGAAGATTAGGTAATTTTTTTAAAGTCACACAATTAGTGGCTGATCTAGAATTTCAAGCTTAGTCTGTTTCATTTCAATGTGTTTTCAACTGTGCTACACTACAACCTTTAATCACATTGCAGTACCATTATTTATACTTGTTTTTCAAATTGTGGTTGAAATTTACCTCCAACTAGATATGAGTTGGAATCAACTCATTGGCAGTGAGTTTGATTTTTTTGTTTAGAGATTTAATTGGTAGATGATTATCAGAGATATAAATCAAGGTGTAAAAGTATATTCTAAATGTTGAAAATATTCACATATATGAAATATATTTTTATACATATAAAAGTAAAATTGGTTATCTCTGAGTGATGTTTATTACATTTTTACATTCTTCTGTATTTTACAATGTTCTAAAATGAGATTGTGTTACTTTATGTTTTGAAAAGTTATTTTTAAGATAAAATAAAATAAAATTTTTAGACAAAAATGTACTAATCACTCACTGCTGTGGAGTTGAGTCCAACTCACAGCGACCCCTCCTTGGGTTTCTGAGACAGTATCTCTATGCCTGATAACAAAGGCATATGACTGCTAACCAGAAGGCTGGTGGTTCAAACCCACCAGCCACTCCTCAGAAGAAAGGTTAGGCAATCTACTTCCATAGTGATACTGCCTCAGAAATCCAAGGAGGAGTCGCTGTGAGTCGGAACCTACTGGATGACAGTGCATTTGTTTTTGTTACTAAATTCATAACAATGTAATAAAACCCTCAAGTGTCATGGATTAGGTTAAAACTCCCCCAGTCAGCTACCTTGATGGTTGACAAGGTTACATGCAGTAAAATATGGGTGCTCCTCAGAGCTTAGCAAGTCTATGGTTATAAAGACTACATGATCTCCAATTTGGAGAGCCCATCTTTGTCCGGCTTGATCTAAGGGTACAGAATAGTTGAAGCCATTGACTCATCAGGCATAGCAGTGTCTAGAAAGATGAAAGTCTCTCTTTCTTCTAGAAATGCCCAATTGTACCATTCATATCTATTATTAGCAACCTTCCCTCAGTAAGCCTGGTGGTGTTTTGGTTTTAATGACACTAAGTATGTGAATTTGGACCCCAGCTCCTTGAGTAATAATGAGTTCTATAATGATGAACAATATTGAGTTCACTGCTGGGCCCAGACTCCCTAGAACTTCATGTTGAATATAAGGTTTCCTTTGCCTCCTTTTAAATAGATCTCTGCTAAGTGCCTCCTCTTCTTACCTCAATTGGGCCCAACAACTTCCTCTTAAAGACTTACTGCTCTCTGACCAAACTTTGTGTATAGAAGAAAAAAAAATCCCTTCTTTTGGCAGTTTAGGAGACCAAAGGCAGGTGGTAGAACCTTCAAGAAATGTAGGCCTAACAATAGAGGCTTACTTAACATGTATCAAGGAATTGAAGGAATATATTGGGAGCTCTGGTAGCATAGTGCCTAAGGCACTTGACTGCTAACCAGAAGGCTGGCGGTTCAAACCCACCAGCCACTCCTCGGAAGGAAAGTTGGGCAATCCTACTTCTGTAGTGATACTGCCTCAGAAACCCAAGGAGGGGTCGCTATGAGTCGGGGCCGACTCGACGGCAAATAACAACAACATTCCTAACTTAATCCAAGGGTCTTTCAAAACATTTGTTATATTGCTACATGTTTCAAGCAGTGTGCTTTGTAGTTAGGAGGCAAAATAATGTTTTGTAATATATTGTGATTTCTAAGATGCTCTCGTTTTCACTGTTATTTCATTTAATTATTGTCACAACCCTATGGAAAGATATTATTACGTACAGGTACAAGGAAGTCAAGCTTTAGAAAGGCTAAGTGATGAGTTCATGATCGCAAGACTGGGACTTAATCCCAGGTCTTTTGACTCTAAATGGTGTACAATTTCCACTACTTTTCTATAATTAAAAATTTGACCCGGTCACAGACTGAGGAAGCATAAGATTGAAATGATCCTTCTTATAATGAAGCCATCTACTCCAGAAGGAGAAGGTGATGAAAAGCAATTCACATCTATTAAGTGTCTATTCTGTGTTGATAGTTCCCCCTGCTCTATCTCATTTAAACGTCATTAGTTTCTGCCATATGACTGAAAATAAGCAACATAACTTACTTCCCCAAAGTCACATAATTCATAACTAGCAAACCCAGACTGAAGACCTCAGTCTTTCTGACCCCTAAACTCATGACCTTCTCAATACTTCACATTTCACTACAACTCATAATGTATTTATGTACAGGATAAATTTCAAAAGTCAAAGGGCAAACAGAAGTCCTCTGTTTTGGAAAAGCTAGTGTTCTCAAGGAAGAAAGGCCTGGTGATCAGCTTCTGAAAAATCAGCCCTTGAAAACCTGTAGAGCAGAATTCTAACTGACATACATGGGGTCACCATGAATCAGCATCAGAATTGACTTGACAGTAATGAGTTCATTTTCTTGGTTTCAGTGTTCTTACCTCAATTGGGCCTGATAACTTCCTCTTAAAGACTTACTGCACTTTGACCAAATCTTGTGTATAGAAGAAAAAAAAAAAAAAGAAAAGGAAATCCCTTCCTTTTGGCAGTTTAGGAAACCAAAGGCAAGTCTCACATCCTTTCTATGCCCTGAACCTCCAGCACTGTTTTCTGTGTGATATTTACATGGTCTTTGCTCCCTTGCAGGGTGTGTGCTGGTGGTATCTGTGATTGAACAGCTTGCTCAGGTCCACAACTCTACAGCCCAGGCTGCCATGGAGAGACTGTGCAGCTACCTGCCTGGTAAGTACAGACAGGACCACACTGTTGTGGGTCTGCCTTTTCACTCATGAGTCACCCCAAATGAGTTTATATCCTGTGCATGCTTACAGAGGAGAATCTCATTGTGTTATTTCTGTGAGTTGATATTCTTATGGGACTCACAAAAATTTTAAAAACGAAATACTCCAGGCATTTTCTCCCTGACATTCATTTTCCATTGTGGCAGAAAGATATTAGTGTGGGCATTTAGGGAATAAAATGTTGAATGGTCAATTGTTGTTTCATGTGTCATGTTTATGGTTTGCCCACCTGGTGATCTTTGTCTTAAGTACTATGAAGGTCATAATAGTGAATGATTTTCAATGATTTTATTTTAATTTGACCACATACACACGCACACATGCACAAGTCCATATCAATGCGGGGCATTAGGCTGATCTTCACACTCCAAATGGGAAAATAATATGAAACTTATGTTTTTTATTATTTAAAAAAAAAAATTTATTGTGATCTGGATGAAAGTTTACAAAGCAAATTCATTTCCCATATAGCAGTTCATACACATTTTGTTTCACGACATTGACCACAATTCCCCACAATGTAACAGTTCTCTTCCCACTTCCTCCCTGTAGTTACCTCTTCCTCGTGTCCTTCCCTATGCATTCCTGTCCCCTGAGTGATCTCCCTGTGCACACACTGCCCTTCTATTCTCCCATGATTGATCACTCTAATATATCTACCTGATGTACATGTTCACCCTATATACCTGTATATTTTTTGGCTGGAAGCCACAGGAGGAAAACTTATGTTCATTTTACCTAGAACTCAATAAGAGTTGAACATTGCAAAAATAAACTAAAGGAACTGATTAGTGGTTTAAACAAGCAGTATATTTGTTTTTCAATCTAAATAGAAAGAAAATATTGATTATATTTTGCCTATATAATACTGTTTTGTAAATAGTCATAATGAATAAAGTTTGAGAGTCCAGTTTTCATTCATTTAATGGGAACTAATTAGTCAAGGATGCCAACATTATTTTTTCTGCTAAGTCAGGTAGTTGGATCAATGGCTATTATACCTTTGATTTGTATAATACACTGAGCCAATAACACCACAGTATTTTCAGAGAATTTATGGCATAGCCACAAGATGCATTCATAGGCTAATCTTTTTACAATTAAAAACTAAAGACTAGGAAAGGATAAAGGAGTTCTGGTGGTGTAGTGCTTAAGGCATTTGTCTGCTAACCAAAAAAGCTGGTGGCTCAACCCCACTAGCCGCTATGCAGAAGAAACATGAGGCAGTATGCTTCCATAAAGATTTACAGCCTTGGAAACCCAATCAGTGTATCTATAAGTCAGAATCAACTCAATGGCAGTGGTTTTGGTTTTTGGTTTGAGGAGAGAATAATGTACAAACACATAAGGAAGTCTTGACACAGTGGTTAAGCGCTCAGCTACTAACAAGAAAGTCTGTGGTTAGACCTCATCAGCTGCTCTGCAGGAGAAAAATGTGGTAGTCTGTTTTCGTAAAGACTCCTGCCCCTATATGGCAATTTTATGTTATCCTGTAAGGACACTATGAGCTGAAATTGACCCAGTGGGCAACAGGTTTGGTTTTTCGTTTTTTATGTTTACCATGCCCCCAAATTGACCATTGAATAAAAAGATTTTGACATGTTTGCATCAACTCTTTGTTCTATGGAACAATGCATATGCTTTTCCCATTTCTCCTTCATTTTTAGCAATTGGTAAATAAATTTGAAATACCCTTTGGCATCCCCTCATCCCAAGTTGTATTCTTCTCCTGCCTATGTAGAGGGAACTATCATGAATTTAATGGGTATTGTCTTGACAAGTTTTATACTTTCACATTCTTTTATATGACTCTACAAACAATGTATAGGAGCTCTGGTAGAATAGTGTCTAAAGGCACTTGACTGCTAACCAGAAGGCTGGTGGTTCAAACCCACAAGCCGCTCCTTGGAAGGAAGACAGGGCAATCTACTTCTGTAGTGATACTGCCTCGGAAACCCAAGAAGGGGTCGCTATGAGTCGGGTCCAACTCGACGACACATAACAACAACAACAACATAAACAATGTGTAACATTACTCTATGGTTTGTTGGTTTGTTTTTCCTTTAAACTTTTCTTGGTAAAATAAAACAAGATGTAGAAAACCACACAAAACAATTACATTGCTTCATCAGTCATTATAGGTGAAATCAGAGCAGTTGCCATTGAATCAATTCTGGCTCATTGTGACCCCATATGCATCAGAGTAGAACTGTGCTCTACGTGGTTTTCAGTGGCGATATTTTTAGAAGTAGATTGGTAGGTCTTTTTTCTAAGGTCTTTCTAGGTAGATTCAAACTTCCAATTATTTGGTTAGTAGCCAAACATGTTAACCATTTGTGCCACTCAATGACTCTATGAAAAGGTGAATACCCTTGTAAACATAGCTCAGGTCAAGAAAGAAAACTCTGACAGACACTCCAGAAGACCTGTCCACTATAATGCCCCCAAAAGTAAAAACATCCTGAATTGTATTGTAGTTATTTCCTTGCATATCTTTAGAGTTTCATCACCATTTGGACTTCCCTAAACAAACAGGAATCAAATGGACTGCATCTGTGGAAAGAGACAATTGAGAAGCTCAATGTCTTTAGTCAGAACAAGGCCAAGGGGTGATTGTGGAACAGATCATCAATTGCTTATATACAAGTTCAAGTTGAAGCTCAAGAAAATTAAAACAATCCAATGTTTCAATTCAAACAAGAGCTAAAATATGACCTTTAATATATCCTACCTGAATTTAGAGACCATGTCAAGAATAAATTTGACGCACTGAACATTAATGACTGAAGACCAGACTAGTTGTGGGAAGACAACAAGAACATCATATATGAAGAAAGCAAAAAGTCATTCACAAGAAGGAAAAGACCAAAATGGATATCAGAAGAGAGTCTGAAACTTGCTCTTGAACAGAGAGTAGCTAAAGTGAATGGAAGAAATGATGATGTAAGAGAACTGAACAGAACATTTCAAAGTGCAACTCAACAAAATAAAGTAAAGTATTATAATAAAATGTGCAAAGAGTTGGAATTAGAAAACCAAAAGGGAAAAAGATGCTTGGCATTTCTCAAGCTGAAAGAACTGAGGCAAAAATTGAAGCCTCAAGTTGCAATACCAAAGGATTCTATGGGCAAGATATTGAATAATGTAGGAAGCATCAAAAGAACATGGAAGGAATATATAGTCACTGTACCATAAAGAATTGGCTGATGTTCAGTCATTTCAGGAGGTAGCATAGATCAAGAACTGATGGTATTGAAAGAAGAATTCCAAACTGCATTGAAGCGTTGGCAAAAAGCCGGGGTCCGGTAATTGATGGAATACCAATTGAAATGTTTCAACAAAAGGATGCAGTGCTGGAGATGTTTACTTGTCTACGCCAAAAAAATTGACCAAGTTCATCAACCTTTCTAGACCTCTTCAGTGAGAGGAAGTATTTGTTTATACATTTACATATACAATTTTTAAGACAAAATATGTAATGGGTTCATACAGACACTTCACATTCAACTTCAGGACTATCAGATTTTTTTTCCTTAATCTCTTCTGTATCCTATCTATATGTCCTCTTTCCACACTGAAAGACCTAGTTCTCAAGGACAAAGGGATTGACAGAATTAGTATATCACATTAATACTCATTTACCTATTCCCCATTATATATTAACAGTCTCAGAATAATAATACTAATGTTACCACCATCAATATAATTCATAGTTATTGAGACCAGTTAAAATTAGTTTTTGCATATGCTTTTCCCATTTCTCCTTCATTCTTAGCAATTGTACTATATTATCTGAGCCTTTACCATTACTTCCAAGGCCCATCCCCTTTAGTCTTTGTTCTACCAGCAACTATATGATCACTGTTCACTACCAGCTCTTATATGGATATCTCTCTTGTCAGGTTGTTGTCTAAGGTAACTTCCATAAAGGATTCATGGAGATAATATTTCCTGAATTTGTTCATATTTTATAACAGGCAGTCTGATTCTAGTATACCATTTATATTTGGAAGTCAGAGTTTTTCTGGATATAAAATCTTTTGTACACATTTTTTTCCTGAGTATTTAAAATATGCTTTTAGGAAGTCTGGTGGTAATCTAATTTTCTTTTTCTTACAAAGCACTTACTGTTTTTGCCCAAAGCATTTTGTTTTGGTTTTTCCATATTCTATAAAGTTTGGTAATTTAACTAGAATATGTCTTTTGTTAGTACTTCTGAAGAAGATCTGGTGGGGTAGTGGATAAAGCACTTGACTGCTAACTGGAAGGTCAGTGGTTCAAACCCACCAGCCGCTCTGCAGAAGGAAGAGGAAGCAATCTACTTCCATAAAGATTTACAGCCTCAGAAACCTAATGCGGGTCACTATGAGTCAAAAACGACTTGATGGCAGTGAGTTGTTGTTTTTTTTTTTTAGTAGTTCTGGATTGACACTCTCAAGTATGAAGTGCACCCTCTCAATATATGTGATTTCAAATATATATCATGTGTATATACATATATAAACCCCTGCTTGATTCAGACTCATAGTGACCCCTGTTGGGTTTCCGAGGCAGTAAATCTTTATGGAAGTCAATTGTGTATATATAGAGATACATACAATTTCAGAAACATTTTCTTGATTAAAATTTATAATATTTGCTCAGTTCCCTTGATTTCATTTTCTTCTTCAGGAACTCCCATTACCTGTATTTCCAATCTTCAATATTTTGCCTATCACTTGAGTACTTTCCCTTCTTCATTCTTTTTTTTTTTTACCTTAAAAATCCTCCTCTTTTTCACCTGCTAGTTCTCTTAAGATGTTATATCTTGTATTCACTTCTTCTTGTGTTCATCCTAGTTAAGTCTTCATTTCTAAAATCATTTTTAATTCTTTCCTAAGTTCTTTTATTCCTTGTCTAAATTTTTCTAATTCTAGTCTATGCTATGCCTTTATGTCTTGT